AGTCAGTCGACAGCGAACGTTGTCCAGACGGCTTGACAAGAGGGGAAATCCAATAACACGAGCAGTAGTCCAGGCGAGGTGCAAACACAGTCCGAAACAGCAGGCAAAGGGTTCTTTGAAGATAAACAGGCAAAAATCAGGTAACACGGGAAAGCAGGCAAGACAAGACTATGACTAGGAACTAAGGACTAGAAACTAGGGCAGGAAACTGGCTCCGTAATGTGCTACCACTAGGAGAGCGATAAACGCAACCAATGCTCAGCGTTGAATGGTGGTGTGAGACTGATTTATATAGTGTGTGTTATTGGTAGCAGCTGTGTGTGATTGGTTTCAGGTGAGCTTGTGATTAGTGCAATGGAGTATGGGAAATGTAGTCCAGGGTGATGTGTAACAGTCTGTGTGGTGTGAGAGTCAATATCATGGGAGGGCGACCTGGACCGGAAGTGGATGGAAGTTCATGGACCGGATTCGTGACAGAAATTTACTTTTGGTACTTAAGTACTTTTAAATGCAAGTACTTCTGTACTTTTACTTAAGTAAGAAAATCTGTCTTTACAACTTTTACTTGTAATGGAGTAATATTTTACCAGCAGTATCTGTACTTTCACTCAAATAATGGAATTGTGTTCTTTGTCCACCATTGCATACACAGAAAGTACTTTCACTTAAGTAATGGAGTTGTGTACTTTGTCCGCCTCTGAATATTTCTGACAGAAAACTAATTATATTTGGTTGAATAACATAAAGGGGCCAACATACACTTTATGAAATTAAAATTGTGACTTTTTGTTACATTTGTTTTTTGTCTGTATAGTCTACTCTTGAAAGTTGTAAAAGAGAGCATACACATTTAAAATGTACTATTTTATTATTGCAGAAAATAATTATGCTTGCTGCAATCCCATGCATATAGCCTATGCTTCATAATATGCCTACTTCTGAATGGCAGTAACAAGTACCAAATCATGGTACATGACTGTGATGTAAAGCAAACAAAATATATGCACTCGTCAGCTCTTTTTATATGGGGTCTTTAAAAATTAAAGTTCTAATTAGAAACAAACAGCATCTTACAGCATGATGCCATCATAGTAGAACATTTTTTTCCACAAGACCTTCTTCATCTCTAGCTCCACAGAAAGCAATCAGTGTCCTGTGGATTTGAAGAAACCAGAATACAATACACTGTTCTGAAGAACATGATTTCCAAAGAATACAGCCAACCAAAGATCCTTATACAACCACCACAACAAAATTGGTTCTTAAGAAAACAAGGATTATTTGCTGAATGTGCTTCAGAAACATTACCGAACTTTTATTTATGAGTGTATAATAATTTGCAACTAGTGTAAAATCTTGTGACCAGCCTCTTGTTCTGCAGTGGCCTTGTCTTCTGATAATTACTGTAAATGTATCACAGAGTCAATTAGCTATTTGATTTAATGGTTACTCTTATCATTCTCATGCCATCAGCCTTTTCAAAAATATCTGCTTACCTAGGAGGCATGATAACAGAAAGGAACTGACAAAGTCTGCAAGACAAGACTTCTGTGTGCTTCAATGGGCAAAATAAAATGGGGTGTCATTTTCTTTGATTACTCATACACTTGCACTTGTGTTTTTTTTTTCTTTCTTTCTCAAAACGACTAGTGTTTTGACTGTCTAAATTAATGACTTTGATAACTGCTCAGTATTAAACCAGTGAATAAATTCTCTTTAGCGCTGAGGCGGCTCCTTTAACAAGACTGCAAGTAATGATTGCACATTCTGCATGCCTAATAAGTGAAATCATCATACTCACAATATCAGTGTATGTCATGCACAGCTTGGTTATTATAACAGTGTTCACATGGGACTCATTTTTAGATAACATTTTTAGTTTATTTTTTATGACATGTAATGCAGGCACAAAGCCTAGCTCAGTGTGACAAGACTACTGATGTGCCTGTGCTCACTGTCAGCAGGCTTTGGACTGCATTTGCCCTCAGAGTGGACAGGATAAGAAATGTTTTCTTGCTTTACAGCCTGACCCAGCATCATGGTGAAAAATGGCAACACTCAAGCCTAAGTAAAATTGTAAAATATTAAAAGTAATTTGTTAATATACTGTAGCCTATATATATATATATATATATATATATATATATACTATTCATTCTTCTGTGGAACATAAAAGAAAATGCTTTGAGAAATATATTTTAAAATGCAAATCAATTGTCACCAAAATGGTTTGATTACCACACCAATCTTCAAAATATCTTCTTTTGTGTTCCACAGAAAAAAGAAAGTCATGCAGGTTTGGAACAACATGAGGGTAAGCAAATGATGACAGACAGTTCTGGGCAAACTATTCTCTTAAACAGCTCTGATTATGTGACTGTTCACCTCAGCCATGTCAAAATGTTCAGTTAAATCAAGACAGTTTGCACTTTCATTTATAGTTGACATCAATTTTGATGACAGATGTTATTAAAAAACAAGGTTTTGTAGTTTGTCGGCTGAGGAATACCACAAGGTACTTTTCTAGGTCTTATTCCATTCTTGGGAGGTTCCTCCACTGACAGGCTGAGACTGAAGACACAGTTTTGTCCGAGGATGATGAAGCTTTTAAGGGTGGGGCTACTGGAAGAGGAAGAGTTGTTTGGTGTGTATTGGAGAGAGTCAGCTGAGAAATAGATACATTGTGGACGCTTGCATTGGGATATTAGAGATCCAGAAGCAGAAGCAGTAATGGTGAAGCAGTCTTGTAATACTGTGTGCATTTAGCTTTCTGTGGCTGGACAGACGCAGGGCTTTACACACACAAGCCACCGGTGAGTTCTGGTTCATGAATGCTTTTAAATGGGTTCACAATGATTTAAACCCCCGTTTAAAGAGCATGACAAAGTTAAAAAGCTTAGAGTGGTAATTCATGCATGATGTAGTGCTGAAGGAGCGTGGAATGGGGGTAGTGTGTGTAGATGAGAGCAGGGAAGGTTTGTGTTAAACTTCTCAGCTTATTATTTATCCATTAATACAAGAGAGGTAAACATGATGTTATTTCCATCCTCATACATATTGACATGTATTTAATTTCTGGCAAGCTTTATGAGGCAAGTTGTGAACAAAGGGTGAGCTGCTTTCTTAAATGTAAAACCTAAACACCCCTAAAAGATGTTCTTGTCACTGAATATCTTAAATATTATTTTTTTCCTGCTTAGTCAATTGCATTAACATAATTTTATATAGGCTATATAATGATTATCTGTTAAAGGGACAGTTAAAAAAAATGCAAGAAGATATTTCTAATAAAATCTGAGAGATTTCTGTCCATATTTTCAATTTCAATTCACATATAAACATTGCTCAATGCACATAAAAAGAGCACATCAAATATGATAAGTTCTACCAGACATTCTTGATGTTCAAGAACAAGCCTCCATGTGGGTCAAACAAGTGCATTGGAGCTTCAGTTTACTATATTTGATCAGCTCCATGTTGAATGTTATATGTAAATAAAAGCCTAAATTAAATCTGTTCATCATACAAAGCATTTGTTTCTCTTTAGAAGACTTAGATTAAACCACTTGATTCATATTGATTACTTTTACGATGTCTATAAACTTGTTGTAGTGTCAATGTTTTGGTGAAATGGACTTTCAATGGAGGTACAGTAATCTCTCAGGTTTCATTAGAAATATTCTCATGAAATATTTTCATTCATTCATTCTCAAAAATGAATGAAAGTCTTATGGGTTTAGAATGACATGAGTAAATGATGATAGAATGGTCATTTTTGGGCAAACTATTGCATGTCGTTGATGAATATTTTACTCTACTATCAAAATTATACTGTAACATGGACACAATAATGTTAAGAATGGCCATTTGTTGTTGGGTGGTATCCAGGAGATTCTTGGAAATTATAGAGTATTATGGAAATTTGTATCTGTAAGATCTGTTTATGCCTAAAGAAAACCTGCAAGCGACCTTACACATTCTGATAATGGAATATATTCCATTCAGATGGTTTGGCGTCTTGTTTTCACTATTTCTGCCTGTATATTAAATGCCAGAGTTGTCAAATACAGGTAGCATTCAGAACTTGGGTTTTGAATAGTAATTTTACCATTCTAGGGTGTGCGTTTTCCTTTAATCCTTTAACAAATTCCATCATATGGACAAAACGGTCTTGACTTAGACCAACCCACAAGATGCTTGCTGCAGAGGGAATTGATCATGAGCTTAACGGCCGTAACTTTCACTGGCCGGCGGACTTCATGGATGCATTCCATTCTATCTTGCGTCATTTTGCTATCATTCACAGTTTCCTATACAGTGTTAATACCCCCTGGACTGAGCGGGGTCGTGACACTATAGACCTGAGCCTGGACACCACAGTTCAGCCAGTGGAAATCCCTGCTGTTCATTCATTCAGCTCTTATGTACATTGAGTTAGTGACTCATAAGGGATGATTATGGGTACTGTGGTCAGAGTGATCTGTCCTGGATCAGACAGTCCGGGTGCATAACGAACTGAAGTTTTATGCAACTCAACATTGGTGTGTTTGCGACTTTCTACCTTGTTTGTGCTGCATTTTTTCTTCAGTTCTGGATGAGATCCTTTTATTTTGGTTTCTTGCATATCCTGGAAGTTTAAGAGGGATTGCATTTTTCCAACCCTGCTCAAATGTTTTTGTTTTTAACCAGACTGAAATTCTCCCATCTTTAGTGTCAACATTTAATAATCATACAGTTGTCATGGTGAGTCTGATCCAGAATTAGTTTTGCTGTTATTATTATTCTGCTGCATGGTGGTTCACTGTGTTTTATGCTGCAGTTACGTTGTATTGGAATTACTGTAATTGCAAGATAGCAACTCAGCGATTCTACTTGGAGGAATGTCCTCAGATTAATTTCTTTGGCAACAATCACAGCGCTAAAATGGATCCAAGTGTGACTTGGTTATTAACGACAGCAAATAATTTAATCACTATGTTAATTCACTTATATTCTGCATGTGATCGCAAACTGTCTAAGAACAAAGAAAGCGCACCATTATCATTAACTCTAATCAAATGTCATACAGTAACAAACAGCAATACGTGTTGAGGTAGGAGCTAACTGTGAATGCCGCTGCCATTTTGTTTTTGTTTATATGACGTTTGAGAGAAATAACCAAGCTTTCATATAAGTTTCCAACTTGTAATTACAAGTCCAATGAAGACTTGAATGGGTTTTAGTCAGAAACTCGTAATTATAGTAATTCAGATGAACAGTTGATGTCTGGAGCAGTTAGAATTTATCATAGAAAACACGCCATGCAAAACTGCGTACCTCGTACTATAGGTATTTATGTAATCATAATGGATACATGTTTTAAAATAAATATTTGATTTTAGATGTTTATTCCTTTGCATAATTTAGGCTTGTTAGCTACAGTTATAAATTCATCAAAACAAATACTTTTTATATGCAGTGCAGCATATTTCCACCTAGGAAAAACATTTCCTGTCTAGACATTGCATTCTTCTTAATTACATAAATGAAACTGTAAATTCAAATAGAAACCCTCCAGTGTGAAATATGGTTTGGATGTGTTCATTGCTGGAATTAAAGAACGAATTTAGCCCACCCATACAGCTAACATGTGCACAACTATAAGAGCTTCAGTCCTATTCATCACTCAGATTGCATAAGAGACTGTTCCTCATTGCCAATGAATCTCTCATCCAATTAGTGATTGTCCATGTTTCCAAAAGCTTTTCTCCCTGGTTGCACATTCAACCATCCTGATGACATGAAGCTTTCTTATAGCTTCTGCCCAGTGGCTCCAAAATAATGGAGTTGCCCATTAATAAAGAAATCAGGATGGGCGACTGAGGTGTGACCGTTGTGCTATTAAGGTTCACATGAAAATCATGGGTGTACTAAATTATACTAACCATCTTCTCAATGTTTTATGATTCAGCACTGGTTCTGCCGTTTAGATTGTTTGAAAGTTGAACACTGATACTAAATTCATTGTTTTTCATTTTTGTTTTTGTTATAACTGGCGCTGGTACTTAAAAACATCTTTATGGAGTCAATATAATGCCACATATATATGCAAAATAATAAAGTTTTGCAAACGAAAATAAAGTTTTGCAAACGAAAATAAAAGTATTGAGACAAAATAAATGTGTTTTTTGCAAACAAAAATAAAGAATTGCAAAATATAAATGAAACAGCACAAAATCAATGATTTTGCAATACATATTTTCTATGGCCATATCTACTAATTTATTTGCAACGCTGCTTTTATTTTGCGTTTCAGTCAAGTTTGAGCTTGCAATACGTTTTTCCCTTTGCGCTTCAGGTTTCTGAGCGTCTCGCTTTCTGGCACTGTTTTGACATGGGGGTGGAGTCAAGGGATGGGGGCGTGTACAACAGGCCTGGGCATGCCTCCCTGGAAGTGACATCATCGGCCCGAGACGCAGCTCACTGATCCAGGCACCATCGTTGAGCAGAGGCATGCGGGTGGATCGTTTCCTTTTATTCTCTAGCATTAAAACATGCATGTTTTCGTTTTATTAACGAATAAAAGGAAACGATCCACCCGCATGCCTCTGCTCAACGATGGTGCCTGGATCAGTGAGCTGCGTCTCGGGCCGATGACGTCACTTCCAGGGAGGTATGCCCAGGCCTGTTGTACACGCCCCCATCCCTTGACTCCACACCCATGTCAAAACAGTGCCAGAAAGCGAGACGCGCAGAAACGTGAAGCGCAAAGGGAAAAACGTATTGCAAGCTCAAACTTGACTGAAACGCAAAATAAAAGCAGCGTTGCAAATAAATTAGTAGATATGGCCATGGAAAATATGTATTGCAAAATCATTGCTTTTGTGCGGTTTCATTTATATTTTGCAATTCTTTATTTTTGTTTGCAAAACTTCTTTTTTTCTCGCAATACTTCATTTTCTTTTGCAATTCTTTATTTTTGTTTGCAAAAAACACATTTATTTTTTCTCAATACTTTTATTTTCGTTTGCAAAACTTTATTTTCTTTTGCAAAACTTTATTATTTTGCATATATATGTGGCATTATATTGACTCCATACATCTTGCTAAAGTAAATTATTGCTGGTCAAGATAAATGAATGAAGTCAATGAATACATTCCACGAATAAGGAAAGGTCTGGATTCATTTCCAAGGAGTTGCAGGAACTTCCATTGTTACTGAAGTAACTGCACTCCCGCTTGACCTTTATCAGGTCACTAAGCCCTGGGACGTGGGAGTCTTGACCTGGCAACTTGTCTTCTGTTATTTGGATAAAAGAATACAATATTCTTTTTCTCAGTGAAGATAATCTCCCTCACCCTCCTGTTCTCTCACAGGCTACATTAGCACAGAAGAATATGGCTGTTAATCCTGTCTACTAGTGCTGAATATGGTTATATTAATTTATTAATTAAAAAAATTATAATAATAAAGAAAAAAGATTAGCCCCTTAGATTACATTAAATATATATGCATTAAATATCTTTGTTATTTTGGTCAATAGCCTTTTTTTGTTTGTTTGTTTTTTGCAACTAATAACCCCAAGGCCATACTGTAAAATGTTATGCAGTGTAACCTCTCAAAAACGTATCGATATTTAAAGGTCCCATATTGTCAAAACTGAAATTTCCTGGCTTTTTATTTACGATAACTGAGGTCTAGGGGCTATTTAACTACCATATAAGTTTCAAAACAGTCAGTCCACAGTAAAATGCATACAGCCTGCATAAAGTAGCTATGATTTTTCACGAACCGTTGTGACTTCCGTAAAAAGTTGACGTCAGAACTACACAG